TGATGACACAAATTAGTTAGTGACGTGGATTGTCAAATTATGATGTGGATTTAATAATTAAAATTTATATCAATTGTAACAAAATTAAACAAGGGTGTTTATTGTAATTTACTAGGAGTCTGAAAACATTCTAGTAATTTTTAGAAAATATATACTATTCTAGTCATATACAAGCTTTTGTGTATCATTCTAGTAATTTCCTCAAAAAATAATAGCATTCTAGTTGCAGCTTTATTCTCCACCTTGCCAATTGCAATAACCGAATCTGGATCCGGATCCGACCCGGTCCTCATCATATTACTTCTTTTCTTTCCATCCCATCCCAATTTATAGGGTTTCTGGAGAATCCAGCAAGGGTGAATCAGTAAACAGATTATTTTGATAATAAAAATAATAATTCATCATTCTAAGAAATATCAATTATTGTTCGGACAATCCATTGAACGTCGATCTCTTCAATGGATACTTCTGTAACGCAGACGACGATGACGACGACGACTCAGCCTCGTGAAGAAGATGATGATGAGTGGGGTAAGTTAATTCGCTTTCTCTGAAAATTGATTTTGTGTAATTTCAAAATTTATTATTCATGTGACCGTATAATCTCCAACGTGTTCTTGATTCAATCTTCAAGCTTTGAAACCCTTATTTCCATTTTATTAGAGTCTTCGCGAATCTTCAGACTGAAAATTTGATAGCACGAGTTCAAAATCTCTGCTTTGTGAGCATTATTATTCAATTCCAAACGTTGAATTGATACATTTGATTTGGGTACAGACACCGATGGGTTTGTGATTCCGAGCTTGGAGATTGAACAAGACAAGGTTAATGATTCACAACATGACACATCAAAACCTTCTCCTCCTCAAGTTTGTGATTTTTTCTTCTGTATATACAAAATATCAACGGAGGAGTTTCAGTGGTATTTAAGAAGCTTAGCTCTCTTTCAATGTTTTTGTAGATTAAAGCTGAAGAAAGCATCTACCTAGGACCACATGGAGGAGCTCCTTCCTCGCAGCCACAAGACGGCAATGTATCGAGCAGGAAGCAACGGTTTAAGCAGAAGCTCAAGGAAGCAGACCAGAAAATGAATGTGTCTGGTCGAGAAAACAAAGTTGCCAACTTAAGAGAGCTTGTAGGCGGCGTTGAGAAAGGAAGTAATATTTCAAATGGTGTTTCAAGAGACTGGCTTGACCCACATTGCCATGAGTCTCAGTTCGAGAAACGTCAACCACTGTAACGAGTAGCGACGCTCCTTTTTCTCTTTTTTAAACGTTTTGTATCACTACCACAGAGAGATGTCAATGCAAGAAAAACAGTTACCATTATCATCAGCTATCCTTTGAGCGAATCCATCTTGAATTCTTGGTCAAGAGTACTCGTAAGAAGAGAAATGCAAACCAACATGTAAGACTCTTAGTTTGGTCAGCAGTTTTTGGAGTTTGGTCCTAAGGAGCGAGCATAACAAGATTAATAGAACAATACATAACTTCATATCAGATCAATAACAAGATTCAGTTTGCTTATACAACGCGTAAATTCATGTGTATTTATTAAACTGTTTCACTCTCTTTACTTCTTGTAGTTGTGTACTATCTGCTATTGCGCGTCTTTTTTCATCTTTCATCCTCCTCTCGGTAGCATTTTCATGGGTTCTGCTTCTCTTGACACTGAAGCTTGCGAGATCAGTTCCAAAAACTCTTTTCGGCTTGCATCTAAGTCGCTGCTCGGTGTGAAAGTAGGCTTACCCATTGTATCCTAACCATTTTGAAAGCTGGTTTTCTAGAATCTTAAGGTGTGGGTCTGTTGTCACCACCAGAGAGAACAGACGGTAAGACTAATTTACATCTATAGATCATTAATGGTTCATGAAATGCAGCAGCTATAGAAGTAGTTTTACTTTACCTTCTCAATGAGATTCACTGATGACAAGACATTCGGAATATCATAAAGCCGCCTCAATTTTTTTGCTGCACAAAAGATATCAATGTGTGTCAACGAACTTCTTTGATCAGATTATATATCTCAAGTGAGTGTGCAGATTAAACAAAAGAGTCTTAAAAGTGAGAAGATAAAGATAATTACTAGTTCTCACTATTGGGGTGGGCATCTCCAAGCGGTAATTTTGCAGCCTCGTCAAGGGAACTGATGATCCTAGCCTAAACATTTTTTTTAAGAAACCCTTAGAAAACCTCTTAGGTTTGTAACTGTAAAACTAATCAAACCATCTCACTTACTTCAGAGATTGATAAAGTTCTGAGTAAGCAGTTCTAACGATCGATTATCTGTCACACATTATCAACCAACTAAATGCCAGGGAATCCACTTATATCCATGAATCATCTCTGTTCTTTGGCCTAACGGTCTATAGCCACTTACATTAATCGAAATGATGGATTAATCTAACCCTCCTATAACATGGTACATCACTGAGTCTACTTTGCATTGGAACTAAACCTAAAGAGACACAAAGTACCAATTATTGAGGAACCTGGGGAAGAGAGCCAGGTTTTGAGGTATCAGTAGTCTCGCCTACTTGAATGAGGAGGCTGAGAAGAAGACACTTCCTAAACCCAATCCAAATCAACCTACTTTGACATTCTCATTTGTATAAAAACAGTGAAAAGTATCCTTAGCGCCTCTTCTTCCTGAATCAACATATGAGGATATGCAAATCAAAGTAGAAACTCACTTGCAGCTCCAGGCTGCTGGGATCGCAGCAAATCCTTTCCAAGCTCTATTACCTTTTCCGGTTGCGCTGAGCACCACCGTTCACCGGAAAGGCGATCTGAGTTTTAATTGGAACAAGAGCTTGCCTGCCCCACATCTCATGGAGGAATCCAGTATAGACGCTTTATAAAAAGTGGACATTTTCTAACTTTATTTAATTGAGATAATACGTAAAAGATTGGCAAAAAGTCCGAACACGAAAAAATTTACCGAATTCTATCCGGAAAATAGTATCAGATCCGAACTGAAATTGAGTAAATATCCAAATGGTTTACAAAATTTTGGTATTTAGAGAACCGAAACTGAATCCAATCCGAATCGAAATACTTCAGGTACTCAAATATATCCGAATCAGATTTATATGTCTGAATATATTATCTATTTTTTCGAAAAGTATAAAAATATATAGATATTTTGAGATTGTTCAAATATATACAAATAGTCAAAAGTAATATTTAAAGTAGGTAAAAAAAGCTAAGACTGCTCGGTCCTTCTATCGAGAGTTGGTGTATGTTGATTGTTCTATTACAGTCTGGATTCCCACACCACCTTAAGCTTAAGTAATAGATCAGCCGTTCGTTGTCAAAAAAAAAAGTAGATAAACAATACTAAAAATAACTTTAATATTTACATAAATTTATTGATTATCCACCTAAATATTGATGTCAAACCAAAATATTATGCTACGTTAAGCTATTTTGACATACATTACTAAAATTTATATGCTATATATATATCATTTTAATTTTAGATTTTTGAACTGTAAAGTATATATGAATTTAAAAATTTTAGAAATAATTTTAAACGGATTATCCGAACCCGAACCGAACCCACAAAGATCCAACCGAAATTTATAAATACCCAAATGGGGCTGAAATCTCTAACCTCGAAAACCCGAAATCCAAACAGATCTGAACCGAACCCGAATGGATACCCAAACGCCCATCCCTAATAAAACCGTAGGAAAGTTGAGTTATTTACAAGTTATACCTAATTGTACCGAAATTCAATCCGACCTAATTCAAACCGCGACCCAAACTAAACCTAAACCGCAAATCATTCTTAAACTATGAAAACCAATAACGATTCCACCCAAACCTAATTAATGAAACCCTAATTTCAAATTTAATAAAAACAATCCGTTGAAGAAAAAAATTCTCTTGTTCTTCCCCTTTCGAAATCCCCTCTCTTCCTGCTTTGTTTGTGTGAATCGATAGAGTGAAAAGAGATGACAAAGATGCCGGAGGAGCCGCAAAGGGGACCAGCAATGGCGACAGAGACATATGGGTTCCTCTGGGAGCCAATAAGTGTCCTTGTCAAAGCTGCGGTGGCAGTTACATCTGGAGAGGAGAATGACGGTGAAGATAAGGGTTCAGAAAGTGTAGTGGATGGAGATAACGACGGGGACGAGGAGGACAACAACGAGGTAACAATTTAGGATAACTTCTAATATAGGATTGGATTTTGAAGCGTAGATTTTGTTTGAATTGATAATGTTTGGTGAAGGAAGGAAAGGAAGGAAAGAGCCATGTAGAAATAGGATTTATGGTAATGATGTGTAGAACTAAGAATTATGGAATAACTATATGCAATACTAATATCACTAGTGAAACATTGAGGAATTGGTAAAATTAGTAATAGGTAGGTGGTGGTCCCAATTTTGACTTCTAGTTAAGTAAGCCCAAGTCCATATAGGATTACGACGAGTTCGACATCGATCGGACTCTACGAGGCCGAGATGGCATCCCAAAGATCGTGGAAACAGTTAGAAGAGAAGGAGGCTATAAAAAGGAGTTAGAATGGAGTGCAACACAGACAGAAAACCCTAAGCTATTTACTAATCACATCGACCTCACTCCATAGATTTCTAGTTCGCTTATTACTTCTACTTTTCATTGTTGTTTTCGATCTTGTTTTCATCACCTTGTAACAAATCCCGTTTTCAATAAAAGTCCATTTTTGTCAACCGAATTCCGATTGCATCGTTGCCCACATCATTTGTCTTCCCCTGATTAACCTTTCGATCACTACAAAATACTTAGTGTGGATTTTAGTATCTATATTTTGGCGCCGACTGTGGGTAAGATAAACGAAAAAATGCCTTTGGTAAGAACCCGATCTAGCATTTCTAAGCACAATTATGGTGCCCAACGCAACCAATCCCCAAAACGTCTGATCCTGATCGACCCACGTCGATCCCACCGGAACATCTCTAGGGACCGATCCGGCTTCTGTCGATCAAACAAACATCAACGAAGCCACCGATGCAACCCAAAATCAACAAGTTCCACCAACTGGAACTTTGATCACCGATAGGATTACGGTCAAGGATCGAAACCTCCCCACTGACCGCATCGGATCTTGAGTGTGGAATCGTATAACAGACAGAACAACACCCGAAGATCCGACCCGAACAGGGAGACCGAGATCTCCAACTAACTTGGTCGGAGCCCGAGACGAAATGGGGGAACTCAGGGGAATGATTTCGACACTCATTGATAAATCTCGTAACCAAGAGATCGCCCACCAGACCATCGCCAGCCACCAGAAACAAACCGAGAGGAAGCTCACCGAATACCGAACAAATGCCAGGGAGAGGATCTGAGAGCACTCAGATCCATCTCTGCAAACGCCGCTTCCTTGAAACCGAGGAGCCTTTGCCTCCCCCGAATTGGCCAGCGCCCGATTGGGGCGCTACGCGAGGGAAAATTCATGACAGACCCCATCGGAAGGGACGATCTATCGAAGTCTCGATTATAATGGTCTGGGTGAGGTCAAAAACAGAATGCAAGGCATAATAACCACCCCGATCCCAACTCGAAACAGACCAGCAGAAACATCTCCGCCGCAACATCGAGCTCGAGATGGCCGATTCTAATTTGAAGGCGACGAATCTCAGTGGACGGGACTGTAACACCCCCGAACCGTCCTAGGTCGGACTAACCCAAGACGACCCAGAAGCGTCACAAGTTGGCGAGCAAAGCAATCGATTCGACCAAAACCTTAGACCAAATCCAAAGTCTCGACCAAACCAACCACTTAGCCCGCCCCTCTCGACCTCGGCCTAAGGTCAGCCAACCCGTACCTTGGTCGAGAGTTGTGTAAGTCCGGACTAAACTAAATATCAGCGTACAGCGGGGATTTTAATATACAAACATAAGTTTTATTTATTTTACAAAGTTCGGGAACTCGACTTGTCCTCAGAGTGCGAAAGCATAAAAACATAAGTGAAAACACGAGAAAAGGGTACCCATAAACAGTAAAACCAAAGTNTGCACTAATACGCCAAGTCTCACCCCGAGACAAGGACACCAAAACCCCCAATCTAGACTCGACGCCTAGACTCAAACAAAAAGATAAAACACCACACGTTTCGGACGGCCTATCTCGTCCAGGAATCCCTTACTGGAGTCGCCCTAGTCCCCTCCCCACTCCACGACCATAAACACTCAAGTCACATGGCCTGGACCTCTCCCGGAAATCGGCTACACCCGATCACACACTCACCCGGGGCCACGGCGTCCCGTAGCGTTCGCCCATGGGCGCTACCCACTTTCCGTTGACGAACCATGGAGGGTAGGCTAACATCCAACACACCACACACTAGTCCGTTGCGTCTCACACAAAAATACACGTGAGGGCTACAACCCAACACACACGCATTCGGACTAAGTGTACATGGGCAACAACCCATCACCACGCTAGCACTCGTGCTAGTCTAGACCAAAGGCTCTAAACAACCAAACACACACAGCGTGCGAGAGCTCCACCTCTAACCAACACGCAGCCTGGTCTAGACCCGCACCCACCTAAAACACTAAGCTAGCGAGACACACCTAAGACTCTACCCGGAACAAGACCCTCACCGGTCTAACACAACACACGGGTAAGATAGAGTCTCACCACATCCAGCTAGCGAGACACACCTAAGACTCTACCCAGAACAAGACCCTCACCGGTCTAACACAACACACGGATAAGAGAGAGTCTCACTAACCCCAATACCACACGCATACTACACAAACCACAATGTATGCATGAATCTATCACCTTAACAAAACCATGCATGCTAAAATGGCAACACACCCGACAAGTGGGAGACACTCTCAATCTCTTGTGGTTCAACGCATGCATATAAACATCTAGATAATCTTGCTACACCCTAAGCAATATCATCTTCACAAAATCTAGATGATCACGACACAATGCGTGCATGTACTACCAACCTAACCACGGTTTTAGCACACCATTCTATCAACCTAACTCACAATGCAATTAAGCATAAACACACAACACCTACATGGGGTTTACCAACTCCCCACGCACACACACATGGAACCACCTAGCTATTCCCGGCTCAAGAACCTCTCGACCCAAGCTCTCCACCTGCAACCACACACGGTTAGTCACACACAACACTCCCACAGCCTAAGGGAACCCACCTAAGGTCTTGAGAAGCCGCAAAGACCTCCAAAAGCCAAAGACCTAAGGTTAACACCAAAACCAGTTAAAATGGGGCTCACGGCTAAAAGGGAGAAACGGATTCTAACCACAACCAAAACTCTTACCACCCTTCCTAGAACACCACAGCACCTCCTAGGTTAAGGAGAACACACGCAAAGAGCCTCCACACTCACCTCACATACTTAGGGAAAATTTATCGGTTTTGGTCACGTTCTCACTCTAAATGGAGCTATGGTCACGACTAAGAGAGAAAGGCTCAGGGGTTAAAAACTATCATACATGAAGCATACGGGTCCTATTTATAGCCAAAAATCCGTGTGTGAACACAAGATTCATGGTGGGACACATGTTACCATTTTAAGCTCCAAATTCATGCATGCATGCAAATACATTGATCCGGCTCCAAAACGTCCCATATTCTAGAATGTTTACTACTTTGCTGACCACGTTCAGTGTACAAAATCTCAGTATGAAATTCGCTTCTTAACTCAGGTTGCCACCACATCACATTTTAGCTCCAAAATGGCTCCTTTGGTGGACACATACCAAATCTATTCCATAGCCTTTTTTCCCTAGCTTTCCTAGACCTCCATGTGATGCTTATGAACCAATAAATACTCGATTTTGTGCCTG